TGTCGGCGTAATTACCTTCAGGTTGTATCGCTAATCCAAATTTAAATTAACTTATACACATATTATGATAAAGAATTATTACCATTTTTATTAATTAGTATTGATTTATAGCAGTCTTAGAATAGAGATATGTATACTAGCAACGGTGAAACATAGTAATTGGCTATGTTGACGTTTTTCGAACCGGACCATTTTGTTATAGCTCTGACCTAATAAGTATCGAGCAGACTTTCAGCTTGACCGGTACCTAATATTTATATAATATGCCGTATAAGGCCGATGTGTCTAATATGTATGTATTATATTAAATACTGTATGTATAAATATTATAAGTATACGTATTATGATTATTACATAGGCCTAATTAATGTTTCCGAGGCTGAAAATATAAATTTAACTTGAACAAAAAACAAAAAAAATATCGCCAACCTAGATGGGATATGAATCCATCTCGTAGTAGTATCGATGTCTGTATAAAACACTAGGATGACAGATCGTGACGAGCATACCAATTGACCGCTGATGTGATGCGCGCCTGGGGCTTACAGACGATCAATGAGCAAACTCGTATCAAACAATCTTTGCTCTATTTAATGCCTCTCAAACTGATTTTATTATTTTTTTAAACCCGCATTTAATGCACATTGAAATTGTAATAATATTCTTTCATTGATTGCCAGCCTGTGGTGTGGCGCGTAGTCGCCTTTAAGCTTGGTTCAAAATTTAGACCTATTTTGGCGCAATTCGCTACGTCTACGCCATTCACCAGTGTCGATTCTGTGAATCACTTGAAATTAGACGCGTATACGGTACTAACACAAATTTGAAGTGGTGTTTCAAAATAGTTGCCATGTGTTTTACGGTATTTGCCACCGTTAAAAAGTTGATGGGCGCGAATTATGCAAGCATACACTTTTTTTTTGTAAGAGTTGAAGTAAAAAAAATATAGTGGAATAATTTAATTTTGAAACGTGGTGCTCTTGTGTTAACGAAACTCAGGCCTACATTTTTACGCGCTCGCTAAAAATACTCTACGTGTGAATAATAGTACGTGTGTAGAGCGATGACAAGTGCTAATGACCGGATCGCTCTTTTTTTGTATTAAACTTCTCCAATAATAAGTATATCCATTAATTATTTTATACGGGATCGAAAATAATCTAGGTCCATTCGAATGTTCGTTATTATGATATGTTGAACTTTAGTAAGACTGTAATTATGTACGTCGACATGATTGCGAGTTACACTCTAAGCGCGCATCTTAACACTCAAAGAAGTCATTTGCATACCGGTTGCGTTATTTTTGCTGCCTTATTTATTTATCGAAAGTCAGTCTATTATTTTAGTCCACCTAAAGGGCATTGTGTTTGTTGATGTGAATTTATAATGAAGGCAGCCAGAACTGAGTGTCGACACAGGCACAGTGAACTGAACCATTTGTACAATATGTATAACATAGGCTATTATTTAGGCGCACATCATCGATGTTTCATTTCTGAAAGTCTTGAAAGTGAAAGTGTATAAATGGGTAAATTAACCATTATACGGCAGATGGTAGTAGAACTAATGCTTTAGATGTACCTTACTGTGTGCATACTAATGTTAATAGGCATTTACAGTGGTCAATACGCTCTAATCAAACGACCCACCCCTGATGAAATAAGCTACAACTCCCATGACACGCCTGGATCATTTTAATATTTATAGAATTTCCTAACGCCAATATATGATTATGGTACTCTGAGACACAGATCCCCTATATGATGAGCAAGTGGGATAAGCCTGGTTTCGCGTTTCGCGAGTCGACCGTATCGGCGACAGTCGCCGTCTGGTTCAACTTTGCCGATTGCATTAATTGCAGACGAAACAGGGTGCATTGCTAGCTGCTCTAACGCAATCGGGAAGGCACCCCGTTTCGTCTGCAAAGCAATCGGCAAAGTTGAGCCGACCTAGGTTCGATCTTCCCGACAACTGTCACCGATAGCTTTAGCGATTTTATGGAAACCGAGCTTGAAGCTTGGTTTCCATACAATCGCTCACCCTAACGGCGACAGTCGCCGATATCTGATGGGAAGGTTGAACCTGGTTTAACTTTGCTGATTGCGTTGCAGACGAATCAGGGTGCATTGCAATGCTAGCTGCCCTGACGCAATCGGGAAGGCACCCCGATTCGTTGTTTGCAAAGCAATCGGGCAAAGTTGAACCAGCTTCAAGCTTCCCGACTTTCGCCGATAGGGTGAGCGATTCTATGGAAACCGAGCTTGACTCAACTGACCGATCAGCGTCGCCGAGTCAGCGATCAGGATCAGGAGTCGGCGGTAGCGTGTAGCGATTATTTTGAAGACCAGGCTTCACCGAAAACCAGCGATTGTAATGGGAAAGTTTTACTAAGCTTAATGCATCAAAATGGTGAGGATGCGCCATCTGCAATATAGGCCTAATGCATAAAGCAAATAACATGCGAATACTTGCTAATCAAGTCGCTTCAGGCAGTCTATTTTTACAATTTTGTGATACGCTTAAAATAATAATGTACTGTACTGTATACCAGGGTGACCGCTATTAATTCAAATCACAACATTGATAATACTTACATGATTATTCATAGCTTATAGAGGCCTAATTGCACATAATTGTAAGCATTCTGTGTGGATCAGTGAATATTTACTTTAATTTCCCAAGTGATGCAACACATTCCTATAATAGGCCATAATGCTTTTATAAATACTTCCTAAACGTTGTGGAAAATGAAAGGGCGTCATGAAATGCATGTTACGTGCGACAATGGCGTGCGCTTGTGCGGGCTGGGAGAAAAGCACTTTTCCGAAAGTACAGGTGATCTAAATTAGGCCAATATCGTATATCCACTGTAGTAATAACGGCTTCTTCAACCTGCTTTCTATAGCATGCCGGTCCTCAAAATCTAGGACTAAGCTATCATTAATTTTGTTTTCTCGATGAACTTTTCTGTTCTATCTATCTAGATACAGTATCTATTTCGCTTTTAACTTCACATCAGTGTTGTAATATAAATCTACAATATAGGAGCAAAAACACTCCAGAGTTAAGCAGTGAGCTATCTGGATATATATCTATCTAGGTCTGTAGTAATTTCGAAAAAACCTTGAGGTTCATCATCTTGCTTGCCAAGATTTTGCGCAGGGTATACTACAGGAACTGGGTCGAAATTATGATTATTCTAATATAATTTTTAATTTAATCTAATAAATGTTATCTATATTTTGGCAAAACAGTTCTTAAAAAAAACCAATGTAATAGCAATTATTATTATGAGCAGCAGCAAATGAGGACAAAACCACAGTCATCGATAGCTGGACGACATGTTCGATTTTTTTTTCTATTAAACGCACAGATTTGTTAATAACATACTCCGAATTATTCATATCGATAATTTGACTTATAATTTAAAAAAATGTAGACTGAAAATACTTACTTAGATAATTAGTAGGGTCTATGACATTTGATTTGAGCAATATTCAGTGTATAAGTATACAAATATTCAATCTATCATGAATCATACTTTTCACATAAAGCCTATATACCGTTACAGTAGTTAATACAGTTAATCATTTAATGAATGTGAATTTCTGGCACCATAAGTGTCAAGTTTGACTAATATTAGCGCTATAAAAATTGTCTCGTAACATTGCGACTCCCGTGTGGTCTAGTGGTTAGGATTCGTAGTTTCACCCACGCGACCCGGGTTCGATTCCCGGCACTTCAAAGGCGTTTTGCTTTCACTTTTATGTTTCGTGATCGAATGAAGTAGAACCTGGTAAAACTCTAATAAATTAGTATTAAAGCTATTACTATCATTCAATTAAAACCAGACAAGTAAACAAAATACCTGCCTTCCACCCAAGCAGCCCGGGTTCGATGGTGCAGGAAAGCATTTTTGTTCAGTTATTGACACTGACGATCAAATAAAGTACAGAACAATGCTGGCATGCCGTTGTTCGCAAAACCTGGTAAAACTCTTATTATATTTGTATAAATTGTTTGATTATTATTTGTTAATTTTCTTAAAATTTCCCATACGCCAATATAATATATTTTTCGGTCACACTCCGTGCCAAATCCACCCCACCCCACCCCCCCAAATGTTGGGAAGGTGTTGCAATGACTGCACCCAGCGTACTCTGGTAGACTGGTGCTTTTGAAATTGAGGTTACTCAATAATGATCCACTCCCTTAACCTCATAAAATTGGTAGCGTGGATTGGTCGATTCCAACACTACTGCTACAGTAGATGCTTCTTCCTCATTAAAGAGGTATGTACGTACAGTTATGTATCATTGATAATGTATTCAATATTCTATATCTAATACCAGGATCTTGGTTGTATGCTTTATGCTCTGGCATCGAGACAGTCAATATTTACAATTAAAGGCAATCATCATTTTACTTCAGTTATAGACTAGTCCTTTTTTTTTTTTTTCTTTATTGCAAATTGAGGAGTAGAGCTAGTAGATAGTTAAGATACTTGCCTTTAGTCCAATTCCAGGGTCTTGGTTGTATACTTTTGGTATTAGATTTTTTTTTCTCCAGACAAAAACCAACTGCACTCTATTCCAAGCCACAAACAGACGTTTTATAAGCATAGTGACAGTTTCATTCCAAAGGGGGCGAGTGTTGTTGGATGTGAAAGGGAAAAATCGAAAAAATAAATAACCGGTATACAGTAGTTTAAAATTACACTTACCTATTAGAGATTTAGGTTCAGAAAGCTCTAGCATCACATGGCCTGACACGACATCTCCTGCGTAATAC